CCTCATGAAAAGAAAGGTAACATAAATGGTCTGTATTACATTATTGAATTTAACTGTGATAACTAGTATAGTATGATTATCCAAGCATAGTGAAAAGTTACAAAGGTAACTTAGCACTAGACATAATATAACGTAGTATATAAAAATTCCATTACATATATAATATTTTCCCATCGATAACACGTGCGATATCTATACAATAAAGTCCACTCAACGTTGTGTGAAAACGGCAGTGAGAAACGAAAAAATACTGTCCAACATTCGAGGATGAACGAATACACAAATAGTCTGTTCTCATAAGTTTGAAAATCCATGATGGGTAAGCTTCAAAATTTTCTGTTTTGTCCTGTTCTGCAACCACTTTTGCCTATACTGGTTGCTGACGCCTTATGTCTATTCGATCTCTCTAAAACAACCCGGTCAGGAAGTCTTTTTTTCGAGCTCTGGCCAGAAGCATCTCCACCTCGATGCACGTGCTGTAAACATTTTAAAACTGCTTCTTCTTTCCTCCGTTCCCGTACACTGGACTCTCCAACGTTAAATTTTCTGGCTGCCTGACGATTCCTTTTTCTTTCGCGAAATTAACGGTTTCCAGCTTGAACATCGCTGTATGAGATACTCTCTGCACAGTATTTTTTCCCCATGAGTAACTTTCTCTGGAGCAACTTTCAATTTCACAAACTAAACACTTGCAGAATGCACGCGTTCAAAGACCAGAAGTGATGTGGCGGCGCTTATTAATCCTTCTGTTCGTTTTTTTAGACACAGCCGCAGCCAATCGTATTATTCCATTATTCGTTTGTCCGAAAACTGCCTATTTTCAGACAAATAAACTACACGCTATCTGTACAATTTTATGAGCATTAAATATTACAAGGTACGCGTTATCGATGGGAAAACACGATAGTCCTTTTTAAAGTTACTTTTAGAATAATAATTTGCAAGGCTGTATTTACTATTCAACTGCGGGAAATTTTACGTTGGAGGAACAGGGAACACTGTTCCTCAGAAAACAAAGACTAACTTGTCAAGCTGAAGACGATGAATAATTGCATGTAAGCCTGAAGGACCCGTTATAACGAAGGACCTGGGAAGAAAACAAATGCCATCCCCCAGCCTAGTCAACAATGCGAAAAAATTTCTGGAATTGTGCAGCACGCGACGCAACAAATATACGCTCCCTGATTTTCAGAGTGTATCGGCACAATCATTGAAAGACTTAATGAATTTCTAATTAGCCAAGGGGCTTCTCTATTTATATAAGCTTGTAATTTGAAATATATTCTGTTAACTCTCTTGAATTTCTAATTTCTATGCAGGTTTTGCTACATACAGTACTTGTACTATAGTGTATTACTATACTGTATAGATTTTTCTATGCAGTTATCTACTGTTTATTTTAATTTTTTGCTGTTTGTCATTTAATTTTGCACGTATTTGTCTTTTATCTGTGCTGAAAAAGATGATTCTTTTGTAATCCAGTTGAAGCGGTGAATTTTCTAATTTCCAGACTTCGTTTTTATAAGACAGTCTTGTATGGGTGTCCCTCGTTTGGTACATATCCTTTTACCAGTCACGTACTTCTGCCGCGTTTTGTGACCGTCTGTTGAACAGTCTTACAAGTTTTTCTATGACTGAAGTAGTTTAGAGAGTATTTAAGGTTCTCGTTGTTGACGGTTTCGAAATGGTACCGGAAATTGAAAAAGTACTTCTGGAATGGCATGCTACGAAACAGCCACAGATGCGGAAACCAAGCAAGCCGGTGTAATGAATTGATATAAATTATTTCGTTGAATTGATTTGAATACTTTATCAATGCATGAACGTTTCGTTTGTCCAGCTTCAATCATCATAGTCACACCGTAAATTTGTTTCCGTAGGCTACATTGCACTTTAAGCAGGTCACAGCTCCATGGAATCATTAGCATCCATGGGCCATACATGCAAAATTGTATCAACGCGTTGAATAGAATAAGGCATGATACAGTATTACTTAATGTACCTAGATCATAGTTTTTAGCAAGTATACAGAAATATAGGGGACATTTCTGTTTGTTGTGTATTGTATTGTTTACAGGTAAAGGTGTATTAGTGTTACCGATCAGGTTTTTAAATGACCCAACATAATGATACCATTTCGGCTCAGTGTACTGTAATTCCAAGATCCGAGGCTGCTAGGCCCCTAAAATTAAGGTAAGGATGTGATTATGCTGGTCGAATCCAGATGACTCGTGCATATTATGATGACAGGTG